CTCCGGCCGCCCGGCCGAGCTGGCGCGCCGAGCCGCTCCCGCGCCGGCCCGGCCGCGCAGGCGACGGGCCTGCGCAGGTAGGACCCGCCGGCGGAGGCGGGCTCTCCGCGGCCGCGGTCGCCGCGCTCTCCGCTCGCCGCGGGCCGGCGCTCCGATCATGTCCTGGTGGCGTGCGGCGCTGTCGGGGACGCGGCTGATCCGGCGCGGGAGCGGCTCGGCGCGCCAGCTCGGCCGGGCGGCCGGAGCTGCGGCCTCCGGGTACGGGGTCGGCGTGGCGCGGAGGCCTCGCGGGGGTCTAGACCAAGCGGTGGGCGCGGGGGCCTCTTCCCCTGGCGCCGGGGTGGGGGGCCCTCGAAAGTGGCGGGAGCTCAGGAAGGGTGAGGGGAGAATGGTGCCCTAAGCGGTTGTGTAGACTGACGGCTCCTGTGACTCTTAGGATGGAAATACCCGAGTCGTGGTCACTTGCCCTCCCCTCCCCCCGCCCTCCCCGCATAATAAATTGGGATTTCAGATAAACAGAGAATATTTGTTTAGTCTTAGTGTATCCCAAACGTTGCACGAATCATACTTGGACTAAACAGTCACTTGCTCTTTATATGAAGTTCTAATACAATCTAGCGTTCTGCATTTTTATTTGCTAACTAAACCTGGCAAGGGTGCTGCAGGAAGTGAAGGAGCCGCTTCCTTGCTAAATGGCCAAGTGTTTGAGGATGGGGATTGTGACTTAGGCTGATGTCGCCTCTGGCTAGACCGAGGATTGCTTTCCTTGTACTTCCCCAGTGCTGTGGAGGATCCACTGCCTGGGCTGATGCTGTGTCACCCACAGGCCCGCGCCGCTGCTCCAAGGTGGTTCTGCCAGCTGGCATATCTGTGCCTGCCACGGTGCATCCATCCTTCTGTCTTGGAGTCTCTTTCTGCTTACTTGGTGTGGTAACTCCGACCAGTTCTGCAAGACTCCACAAACTTTTTTTTTTTTTTTTAATTTTTTTTAACGTTTATTTATTTTTGAGACAGAGAGAGACATTTCATGAACGGGGGAGGGTCAGAGAGAGAGGGAGACACAGAATCTGAAACAGGCTCCGGGCTTTGAGCTGTCAGCACAGAGCCCCACGCGGGGCTCGAACTCACAGACTGTGAGATCATGACCCGAGCTGAAGTCGGCCGCTCAACTGAGCCACCCAGGCGCCCCAGACTTCTTATTTTTAATGTTTATTTATTTTGAGAGAGAGAGAGAGAGAGAGAGAGAGAGAGAGAGAGAGAGAGAATGAATGAATGAATCCCAAGCAGGCTGCATGTGGTCAGTACAGAGTCCCAGGTGGGTCTCCATCCCATGAACTCTGAGATCATGACTTGAGCCAAAATCAAGAGTCCTACGCTTAACTGACAGAGCCACCCAGGCGCCCCAAGACTCCAGGAACTTTTGATTAACTTTATTGGCTAAGTTGGTGACCCACTTGGGAAGGTGCTAATCACTAATCACGTGGTATTAATTATTTGACTGACAGGTCCTTGGGTGTTTTTTTCCAATGATATGTATTCCTGGAGCATTTAGCATTTTGCCTACTTAGTACCTAGTAGGTGCTCCATAAATGTGTTCTGGCGAGTGGGTACATGAGTACTGAAGTGAAAAGTTGCTTGTGCACTTCTCAGTTGATGTCCTTTCCTTTATTGGGTAATAACTTTTGCCAAGCTTAACCAGAATTGGAGGAGAAAGTTGCTTTCCAGAAACTTATTCTTTTATTTGGGTGGGTAGAGGGTGATATTTCAGATGCATCTCCTAACTCCTCTCACTCCCCAAGGAAACTTTTCACAAGGAAAATTCCTGTGAAGGTTCTGTTGAAACTGCTTCAATAGTAAATATTGTAATAGATGTTTTGGGGATGACAATTAGATGTGGGACTGGAGATGAATGGAACTTGTTTTCTTAGTTGATAAACCAGACAGGTTGCTGATTTATTACATTAAAGCACCTTCTTAGGTCCAGGTCAGTGCTACTTACTGCCCCTGCCCCCCTTTTCCCCCCTGGTTTAGGCTCCAGGAACTCAGCCTGCTTTTTTCTTGATTTGCACCCTCTGCTGTCTTCCTAAGTTGGCTGTTGTCTTCCCTAGTTTGCTACTCCTAACCCTTTCCTGAGATAAGTGCACAGGCCCTTTTTGTTTTAAATATTTCCTTGCCAACCATTGGGAAGCAAGGAATAATAGATTGTAAACATTGGGGAGTTCTAATGTTATAATGTTCCCTTGGAGTGGTCTCTGCCTCTAACTTGTAATTACTGAAGGTGATGTTTGCTATAGCATCCTTATTCTAAGTGCATAGGCATGGCTATATAGATCAGTTACTCATCCTCCAAGGATAACATATAAAAATCTATTTTTTTTTAAAGTAAGTTCTATGCCTTGATGTGGGGCTGAAACTCACAACCCCAAGATCAAGAATCACATGCTCTACCAACTGAGCCAGCTAGATGCCCCCAACATTTAAATTTTAACACTCACAGTGAATGAATGAAATGTTTAGAGGGAGATTTTTTTTTTCTATCAAAACTTGAGTTTTGCAACATAATGGTAAGGAAAATATTTTTTGAAATATTTGAAGCTTCAATTCTTTATCTTACTCTCTTAATCTTTATATAATTTGAGTAATTCTCTTGAAACCTGGATTATTTTATGATTCTTTTGTAAGATTTGTAATTTTACTCTAATTAGTTTGCATCCGGATGCTGGATATGGTTTGGACAATGCAGTAAGGCCTGGCTGATGATGAAAGACAGGTGGATGGGTAAAGGTTTTAGGCATAGGCATAGAGATTTGGTGATACAAAACTAGTCAATTTTTAGTGACTATATTCCTGTTACAATGAATGCCCCTTTTACAAGCTCCCAGCAGCTAGGTTTTGGATAATAAATATCTAGAGGATCCCTGTAATTAGGGAATAATATTAGTAATGTTAAACGTTATTGAACATTTACTGTGATCAAGGCACTGTTCTACTTTTTATCAATTCATTTAATCTTCATAAAACCCTTTGATGCAGGAGTGACTATTATTCCCATTTTACGGATTGGGAAACTTGTAGCTATGGATGTTGTGGTTGAGATACCTTAGTTTCCTTAAAATCTTTGAATCTTTGTAGATTGTCTGTTTCACAGGGTGTGCATGGAGATTTAGCATGTTTTAACAAGAAAATGGGAACGGTATTTTTTTTTTTAATTTTTTTTTTTCAACGTTTTTTATTTATTTTTGGGACAGAGAGAGACAGAGCATGAATGGGGTAGGGGCAGAGAGAGAGGGAGACACAGAATCGGAAACAGGCTCCAGGCTCCGAGCCATCAGCCCAGAGCCCGACGCGGGGCTCGAACAGGGAACGGTATTTTTAAACTAATGGTCTTAGTTTAAATTTTTTTTATTTTTTTTATTATTTTATTTTATTTATTATTATTATTTTATTTATTTATTTATTATGTTTTAAACATAAGATCAGTCTTTAGGACAGTCTGTTTGAAATTTGGTGTTCAGAAATAAGAGTGCACCAGGCTTTAAACACAGTAAATGCTACTTAACCAAATAATTAAGGACATTAGGAGGCTAGTTAGAGAAGCACATAGTCCCTTTTGGTTTTAGTAAACAAATACTTTGTAAACTGATATTTTGTACTAATAATTAAAATTATTTTTTCTGTTTCATAGATTTGGATCTATATCTGCATATCAGGTTTTATTCAAATGGATCTTGTCTGCTATATTGTCTTTAATGATATGTTATCTTTAATGTTTAAAGCTACATTGCCTTTTAAAATTCTTTTTAGGATGGGGAACAGCACATCATCATCTTTGGGGACGTCAGCAACTGCTCCTGTGAATCAGATTCAAGTGAGTGATGTGGGAGATGTAGGAAAAAACTTTCCTATGTGGAAAAAGAATTATGTCTTACACATTTAATGTGCTTTTTCAGTATCCGAACTGACATAGTTCAGCAAATGAATTACTAAGTATATATTTTAAAATCTGCTCTCAAAATAATCCATGTGGCAGGAAAAGTTCTAGATCATTTTGGTAGTCACAATTTACGAGATTTATTATTAATAGAGCCTTTACTCCCTCTAAGTTGGATCTGTGAAGTTAGCTCCTCCTTTCCATCAGACCTAACTCAGGTCTACTTTTGATAGCAGTCAAGCTGTTTTTAGCTAGGGATCGTGTTTGATTTTGGCCTGGGAAGCTGTTTAACAGCTTTCTTCCCTAACAGAACTTTGTACGCTGTAGTTACTCTATAAATGATCCCCTCAGGAACACCGTGTGCTGCTGTGTACTATTTTCCTCTCTTTCACTGCAAGCCCCAGTTAATTTTGCCTCAGAAAACTTCTCTTGTGTGTATGTTTTTCTTCCCTTGTAGTCTACATCACATACTCATGTTTATCTTTCTCTGTTCTTCACCACCAACCACCACCACATACAAACATTTCTGCCTTTAATTTATTTGGCCAAAAAACAGCTGATGAATGTAACAGCAATGTTGGAAACCTATTGTGAGGGAATTGCCTCTTTGAAAAGAATACAAAATCATGAAAACTTAGCAAGGTTGAGCTTGAGAGAAGGTGAGAAGGATCACTCGAGGAACTGTCACCGTCATCTTGAGTTTCAACTCACTTTGGAATCTCTTCACTGTTTTTACTGCGTGTCAGCACCTGGGATGCTCAGCTCTCTCTAAATGACGGTTTCAGTGTGCCTATAACCTCAGGCAGCATGGTGGAGGAAAGAGCACACTGGGTTTGGTGTTGGGACAGGTTGGGTAAAATCCTAGTATTGTTAACTTGTCAGCCTCAATTTTCTCACCTATAACATAGATTCATTAATACATTTCCAGTGTGACTGGCTTTCCCCGAGACAGACTTCTTACTAAATATTATGAATAAGCAGAAGAGAAAGCATAAAAGTAGACCCATTTGCAGATAGCTAGACTGTGCCTTAAAATCCTTCTGACACCAAAGGATGGATGTACCTTTAGAATTACTTTGCCTGGGTACTCTACCCTTTGATTTTTGGCTTTCATCTGGAAGGTGTTGCTTATGACCCACATAAGAACAAGTTAGACAGATGCTTGGGTGCTAGACCTGTCTGTTCAGAATCTCTTGAAGGACCTGGGCATTCAAATATTTAGAGACAAAAAAGAAAACAAATTTCACAGGTGACACAAATGCATAGCAAAGTCTCATGGTCTTTGTGATAAAGGCCTGGAGAGTTGTTTCCAGACCAGGCTGATCTTAGAATCATCTGGGACATTTTTTTTTTTAATAGTTTCTTTTTTTTAAATTTATTTTCTAAAGTTTATTTATTTAGTGAGAGAGTGAGCAAGAGAGAGCACACATGCACAAGCAGGGGAGAGAATCCCAAGCAGACTCCGCACGGTCAGTGCAGAGAATGATGTGGAGCGTGAACTCACGAACCTTGAGATCATGACTTGAGCCGAAATCAAGAACCACCCAGGCGCCCCTTTTAAAAGTAGTTTCTGACTTCTGCATGAAACCCGTTGAATCAGCATTTCCGGTAGTGGGTTTTCCAGGAACAACAGTGTAAGAAGGCCTTATCAATACTGTAATAAGATTTTTTTTTTGTTTTGTCTTTTTGTTTTTGTTTTTTACTATAAAGATATACAGGAAGGAGTGGAAGTTGAGGGGCAGGTTGTTTTTTTTTTTGTTTGTTTGTTTTTTAAGCTTATTTGCTTATTTTGAGAGAGAACACAAGCAGAGGAGGGACAGAGAAGGAAGGAGAGACAGAATCCCAAGCAGGCTCTGCACCAACAGTACAGAGCCTGATACTGGGCTTGAACTCATAAACTGTGAGATCATGACCTGAGCCAAGATCAAGAGTCGGCTGCTTAACTGACTGAGCCACCCAGGTGCCCCAAAGCCTTACATTTTAAAGAGAAATCATGTGTCAGTCCTCACCATTAAAAGTTAAAGACGGTAAGGAGTTAACTTCTGAATACCTACTGAGTCTTTAAGAGGCAAGGTAACAGAGTTTAAGTGCCTGGACTGTAGAATTATACTTGCCTGGATTCAAATCCCAGCTTCCCAACTCTTATTAGATGAGGACTATGAGTAAGTCACTTAGTTTCCTCTGTGTCTCACTTTCCCCATCCATAAAGTAGAGATAATAACTGGACCTTATCTCAGGATTATAATGAGGCTTAAATGAGCTAGTAAAGGTTAGGTTAGCTAGTAAAAAGGCACACAGACATGTTTGCTGGATATGAATGTGCTGTGATTATTGTTATCACTCCATGCCAGCTTTCCATCTGTTACATCCTTTTGACCTAAAAACATCCCTTGGAAATGAATAATATTCTCAATATACAGATAAGAAAATAGATGATGGGGCTTAGTTTGAGCACTGTGTCATGAGACTCCAGAATCCATACCCTTTCCACTATAATCATGATTTCTTTCCAGGAGTTAATGCCTAGAATTAAAATAATTATTTTTTTTGTTTGTTTGACTTCAGGAAACAATTTCTGATAATTGTGTGGTGATTTTCTCAAAAACATCTTGTTCTTACTGTACGATGGCGAAAAAACTTTTCCATGACATGAATGTTAACTATAAAGTGGTGGAATTGGACATGCTTGAACATGGAAGTCAATTTCAAGATGCTCTCTACAAAATGACCGGTGAAAGAACCGTGAGTGTATCTTTGGTGGTGCTTTTCCCCCAGATAGGTGGTGACTTGGGTCACCTAGAGCCTGGACTGTCGTGTGAGGAAAAGTGGGCCAGGTGTTCACTCATCCTCTAAGAATTTTGTGTTGATAAAGAAATGGCAGATCTGGGAACAAGATTCAGAGACTGGATACAGCAGAGTTCATTCATTTTATTTTTATTCTTGGCGTGGTGTGTGTGTGTGTGTGTGTGTGTGTGTGTGTGTGTGAGTGTGTGTGTTTTGACTGGAAGAGTGGGGTGATAGTGTTGTCATGAGTGTTTGTGAATCCTTAAGGTCCTCCTGGAGCTCCTAAGATGAAATCCTTCCTCCCTTTACTTGAACAGTACAGACCAGGGGTCAGTCTTCAGGTACTGTGCTAATAGGAGTGCTTTAGTTCTTCATGTTTTTAGATTCCTGAAATTTGTCCAGTAATATGCATTTTTTTCAGTGAAATGCATTGTCAGGAAAATATACAATGTCGCCATTTCCCTTTTTGTGTCTGTTTGCATGGAAGATGTTTAATAGCATATCTTCCCTTTTAGTAAACAAAGAACCACCTACGAAAGAACCACCTAAACGTATAAACAATAACTATAGACTATTATTTTACCTTTTATATGCCATAGCAATTAGAAGGAGGGGCTTAAGTGTCAGATTGCCCTAGATTTAAATCTTAGCTCTGTCATTTACTATCATTGTGACTTTGGACAAGTTCCTGTGCCTCATTTCCCTCCAAAATAAGGCTAAAAATAGTACCTACCTCAACGGTTGTGAAGATTTAAGTACATACTTTGTAAAAGAGGGTAGTCTGACATCTGGTGTATAAAACTACCTAGAGTGTGAGGGTCTATTATTATGTGAAATGGTCTTATACTTCTAACAAGAGAGTGATGACCTAATCTTTTGTTTATCTAACAGGTACCAAGAATATTTGTCAATGGAACTTTTATTGGAGGTGCAACTGACACTCATAGGCTTCACAAAGAAGGGAAACTGCTTCCACTAGTTCATCAGTGTTATTTAAAAAAAAGTAAGAGGAAAGAGTTTCAGTGATGTAGGTGCTCATAATGTTGCTAGTAAAATGTTAGTGATTTAAAATGATCATGCCTGATAATGCCTTTTAAATGTTTGAGGATGTTTTAAAAATGTAAATTATCTTTATGGGAAAGTTCTAAAACTAATGAGCAATAAATTCCTGTGGAAATCTCTTCTTCCTACTTGCCAATTCTTGAGCAAAGGGGATGATATTTAAAACTAAAGGGAGTTGTATCAAAAGATGAGGAGAGAATGTATTTTATTAGGAATTTAAATATGGGGGCGCCTGGGTGGCTCAGTTGGTTAAGTGTCTGACTCTTGATGTCAGCTCAGGTCTTTATGTCAGGGTCATGGGTTCAAGCCCCGTGTTAGGCTCCACTCCAGATGTGGAGCCTACTTAAAAAAAAAAAAAAAAAGCCTTTAGGAATTTATATATGAATTTTACAACCAAGAGCTAGAAGCTAAGCATTTGGGATTCTTTATTCTGTGTAGTATTCAGAAGGAGTTAATTCCTTACCTTTTATGGCTTTCAGTGGTGAGGACTGCTTTGTAATTTTTCTCTTTAAAATGTAAGGTTCTCCCAGTTATGGTTGTCAGCTCAGTAGGGATATCCTTGTACTATATTGAGACAAACCTTCACACTTTGTACTTCTAGGGTAAGAGAAATATATTAAATTTGTCAGATGGAATGAAGTTTATTTCAGAGAAACCAAATTACTCCTTTAATGACTTAGTAGTTCCAGGGAACAGAACTGTACCTAAGGGGAAGAAATTATAAGGAGGAAGACTTCAGCATTTTATGAAAATGAACTTTTGAAATAGTTCAGAAATGTACTTGAGATTTATTGTAAGGTGGAAAGTTCTGCTTTCCAAACTGTATCAAAAGGGTGTTGGAAATGTTCCATAAGAGATCAAAGTATTGGGTAGGAGGTTAGACTGTCCCTCTAGTAATTTTTGATGTAGATAGTCTTCGATTCTGTGACTGATTCAAACTATATCTTAGTCGTAAGATATATCTTTTGGAAGTCTTATTTTAGAATAAGTAAAAATATTTTGGATACTTTATTAATCACATCCCTGTTTCAAGCTTATCAACAAGAGTTAAAAAAAATTTTTTTTAAATACTTATTTTTGAAAGAGAGCACGAGCAGGAGAGGGGCAAAGAGAGTGGGAGACACAGAATCCGAAGCAGGTTTCAGGCTCTGAGCTGTCAGCACAGTGCCTGACACGGGTCTCAAACTCACGAACCATGAGATCATGACCTGAGCTGAAGTCGGATGCTTAACTGACTGAGGCACTCAGGCACCCCTCAACAAGAATTTTTTAAGTGCACTTCCTAGGAAGCATTTTCCTGGCTGATCCCACAGAGTCACCAGGGCAGATTGCCAGATGCTGGGAAGAGAAAACAATGCACTGTAAGAGAAGAGTGCTTTTGCTTTCTGGTCTAGCTGGACCAAGGAATCTGGGATAGTTCTGCAGAAGACAGCTGATAGCTGTTTTGGCTATAAGTCATCAATGATGCTTCCTCCATGGACTTATTAAATTGCCATTAGGAGACCTTGATAAAACAAGAATTTGGACTATTTCATTCTCATATGGTAAATTACAATGCTGGAATGGAACAGAGAATGGAATGTCCTTTAGTCCTTTATTCTGCGTTACGTCATGAGAAATTTTACATCTGCTATGTTGTAAAATTTTTGTTAGAGAGTAGAGAAAATATACTTGTTACCTGTGTGTTATTGTAATTTATAATAGGAAATATGTATTTGGTCTTAATCCAATTCCTGGCATACAGCCCATAAAACCCTTGGAATTTGCTGTGATGAGAGCCATAAAGGGGTTATGTTAATGAGAAGACTTTTGGGAACGCCCGTAAAGATGGGGTCTGGTTGCCAGGAGAACCAACCCTGTGATTACAATGTAGGAACTTTCCTACACTTGTAGGAGAGGGAGAGGGACTGGACATTGATTGCCCTCATTGGCAAGTGATTTAACCAATCATGACTATTCGATGAAGCCTCTATAAAAAACCCAAAGGACAGGGTTTGCAGAACTTCCGGGTTGGTGAGCACGCGGACATTCAGGGAGAGTAACGTGCCCAGAAAGAGGACAGAAGTTCCCACCCTTTCCCAGTACCTTGCCCTGTATCTCTTTCACCTGGCTGTTCTTGCTGTGTGCTTTTACTTATTTTATTATTATTTTTTAAATGTTTATTTTTGAGAAGAGTGAGCGGGAGAGGTGCACAAAAGGGGACAGAGGATCTGAAGTGGGCTCCATGTTGACAGCAGAGAGCCTGTTGTGAGGCTTCAACTCATGAACTGTGACATCGTGACGTGAGCCAAAATTGGATGCTCAACTGACTGAGCCACCCAGGCGCCCCCCTTGCTATGTCCTTTTAAAATAGACCAGTAAATGGGGCACCTGGCTGGCTCAGTTAGTTAAATGTCCAACTCTTGGTTTCAGCTCAGGTCATGATCTCACTGTTCATGAGATTGAACCCCGAGTTGGGCTCTGTGCTGCCAGTGCAGAGCCTGCTTGGGATTCTCTCTCCCCCTCTCTCTACCACTTCCCTGCTAGCATGCTCTCTCTCAAATAAACAAAAAAGCCACACCAGTAATCTAGTAAGTAAAATGTTTCTCTGAGTTGTGAACTTTCTAGCAAATCAGTTGTCCCAGGGACTGGGTTCTTGGAACCCCCATCTATAGCTGGTCCGTCAGAATAACAGATGACAACCAATGTCAGGCAGATTGGTATCTGAAGTGGGGGTTTGAGGGGCAGCCTTGGGGACTGAGCAGCTGCCCTGACATGCCAATCCTGTTTGACCAAGGCTTTTAGTTTTTTTTCTAGTTTATTTTTTTCAAGGGAGACAGAGACAGCATGAGTGGGTGAGGGGCAGAGAGCGTGGGGACAGAGAATCCCAAGCAGGCTCTTAAGTGTCAGTGTGGAGCCTGACGAGGGGCTGAAACCCTTGAAACTGCAAGATCACAACCTGAGCCAAAACCAAGAGCAGGACGTTTAACCAACTGAGCCACCCAGGCTCCGCTCCCCCCCTCCCTCCACCCCCCTCCAAGACTTTTAGTTTTAACTGAAATGGGCTAGTTAACTGTTAACTAGCAGTTAACAGTGATTATACCTTCTCTTTTCAGAGAACATTATTAAGAATTTTTTTAAGTGTTTATTTTTGAGAGAGAGACAGACAGAGAGACAGAGCACGAGTGGGGGAGGGGCAGAGAGAGATGGAGACAGAATCTGAAGCAGGCTCCAGGCTCTTAGCTGTCAGCACAGAACCCGACACAGGGCTTGAACCTGTAAATCGTGAGATCATGCCCTAGCCGAAATCAGACGTTTAACAGACTGAGCCACCCAGGCACCCCCGTCTATTTAATTTTTCATGTTACGATATGAAAAATAAACTGTTTGCTGTAGCCTACCAATATTAAAAACATGGGCCATTTGTTTATCATTTTATCACTGATCAATTTATACTTGAATCAACAACATAGCTACTAGGGAAGCTGGAAAGCTGTTAAGAAAAAAAAGGGGTATTTTGTCTTAATGTATCTGGATTGTTTACTAATATAATAATTAGCATTTGAACAATATTTTTTAAGTCACGTCTTCTTGATAAGGTTTAATATTGCTAATTACTTCTTAAGTCTAGTTTTCTCATCTGTGAAGACATGTATAACTTGCGATCTTTCTTCATATAATGACAGTCATCTTGAAATAGAGAACTATAAAGTCAACAAAAATGTCCAAATTCTTCGTAGGTGCATTCTGATGTAACTTACTCTTTGCATAACCTACAGCTCAGATCTTAGCAGAAGTTTTATGGGAATTCAGAGAAAAAATATATGTCTGCATTGGCACTAAAACAAACTTTTTGCTGGCATAATTGATTTTTGGTGTTAACATCACTTTTCCCAAAGGCAACTCTGAGTAATTTTTTCATGAAATAAAACTATTTTAAAACTCCTTTAGAATGTGCATTTTGGTTAAATCCAGGGATCTACAAAAGAATCCTCAACCACATGTATCTTAAATATAATTATATACAATTAGAGGCATTATAAAGCCAGTGTTAATTATCAAACTTTAATTTCATCTTATTCAAGTATTATAACATTACTAAGTGCCTTAGCTTTTATAAGACATATAACCTTAAAATTCTTAGTTCGTTGAAGAAATAAAGACAATTATTTGAGGTGCATAGAGTTTATTTGGTGTGTCTATCAATTTCTACAATACAGTTGACTAGAAACCGTTCCCGCAGTGTGTGTCTGTACCCCATGTCTAAAATGATGTATTCAGTATGGCATTTTGCAAGGCTAGAAAAGGAGAGAAAGTCAAAATTTCACAGTATTGGTGAAAACTTTTATCATGAAATAAATTTAATTCTTTAGTATTTCATCCATTTTCTATCAGAAAAACAGCAAAATTACATTGTTAGGTATATTATTTACAGTGAAAACTTGGAAGACTCAACAAAGCATCAGTAAGTTTATCAACAGAGCTAAGAACCCTCCCACCCCCCTTTCCAGGGTCCCTTCCTTTGAAATGAAACTTGTATAAATCAAACTTTGTATCCTTAAGCACCAGCTTGACAATTTAAAGTTTTCTTTCAATTTTATAAAATATTCCTGCTTTGAAAGGCAAAGTGAATGTAAAAATGTGAATGTAATTAAACAAATCACTGGCCTGGATACTCTATTGCAACAATTGCAATGTTTTACAACTGTATTCACTTCTTTGAATGAATTTGCTTATAGGCTTGAAACAGTATTTGCCTTTTGTTTTCAAAAATTCCCTCAAAAAATTAATCATTTTTGAAACTGTACACCTGTATTTTTCATTCATGGTGTTTAAATATGCAGCTTGGTCCTTGGAGATTATGTTACATAAAGTCCAGCTTCTTGGATAGTTTGTTATACCAAACAATAAAAAACCTTAAACTACCACAAAATATTAGTGATGTTAACAGTCATGTATGTAGAACTTATCAGTGTACCCAGATTATCCTATTAATAGGTGCTTAAACTACTAATGTACAATCAGGTTATGAAACTCAACCGTTAAATTTCCATTCATTATGCAATGAAAGCTCTAAAGACCCTCAGAGTTCCTGTACTTCAGAAACACTAACACTATTAAGGCATTACTTAATGAACAGACCCTATGGAAAGTAACTAATATGCCTGTTGGAGAGCTAGTCATATTTTAAGGCAGTCAGAAGATTCATTTTTTTCACTTTAAGGCTCTTACATACTTAAATGTTATTCTATGCAGGCATTATTCTGTGTAATTTAAATAGTAAGTGGTCATTTATGGAAATCAAAGCCTTTATATAAAGCAAATGGACAGTTTCGAACTAGATTATAACACCCTTCCCCCAACCAATTTTTTTTAAAAAGAGGATTTCAATCCCTTTGGAGAATTTCTTCATTATCAGAAGCTGGCAATAAAGTTAGAAAATGTAACTCAAATGCATTACAAAAGCTTTGTTTAGTCATACCAAGACACATTACGTATAGTCCATATTTAAAATAATAGAGCAACAGAAACATTTTTGATTACTATTCATTGTATAATATTTTAAACTTAATTTGGCTGTATATAGATTCTAAAGTTTACATTGCAAATAAAGCCTAATAAGTATTTTAAACATGTTTCAATATTCATCAATTTTATGTGGTAATAATAAATAAAATAGCAAGGTTTTACCTCATTTACTACCTCAACCATCCAAGTGTTCATTAAGTGAAACCAGCAGAAATGTAGTTAACTTACCATTTGTTTTGTTCAGTTTTCTTACTGAACTTCTAAAAGTACAGAAATCTAAATATATTTTAAAATTAAGTATCAATTGTGTTCATAAAGTTAATATGATACATGGTGGTGCTAAATTAAATAGAAGCAAAGGGAAAAATCTCTTTAGGCTCAGAAACAGCTCTTGTGTATTTCCATTGTATTTACAAAATTCATAATCATTGAAAATAAATGCCTTAATTGTAGTAATAGGATGTTGCAATGTAACTCCTTCAGTTTATTTTTCTACCAATTTCCAATATAATTTGACACTTTCAGGGTTTAGGAAAATGTGTCACATTATAATTTTATTCAAACAGTATGCTTAACTACATTAAATTTCTACATGAAAAAATATTACCATAGAATTTTAAATTAACTTCCTAATTTTTCAAAAGCAAATAAACTTACCAATTAAAGAAATGTTAAATGTGAATACAAGTTATTTACAAGATCTTTTATGCTACAAAAGATGTATATATAAGCTCAGTGAAGTACTTAGATGAAAGATTTGAAAGTGATCATTATATGGGAATATGAGCATGGAGATGTGCTCAGAGTATTCAGTTAATTATTTTTCTAAGAGCAAATTAGATCTATAATTGCAAACAATGGCTGAATAATCTTACCCAAAGGCCACAAAATTTCTGCAAACATCTAACACAAAGGATATACAATGTAACTTGATTTGGGGAGAAAACATACTAATCCAATTATTGTTCCTAGAGACCTGCCCATTATTAATTTGAAAAAATATGATCTTAAATCTATATTGAGCAAATGGAGATCTGCAAAAAGATTCATCCCAAACCTAACTATGTGTGATTTTTGTGTCATTCATTTTATTACCCAGGTGAGAGCAGGATGAGAGAGGACACAAATGTGAGAATAAAGTAATTTTAAAAGAAAAAATGAGGTATAAAAGTAATTTTCCAACAAATAAGATTAGGGAGCAGATAATAGGAAAATACTAAATAAAATCTGTACAGTAAATACAACTAAATTCATAGTGTTATCTTTTTTTTTCTTTCTAATTCTTCCTTGTGTATGTTTACCATGAGCTCGTATGACATTTCTCTAGAGAGGATACTGCCTTAACCAGTCACCCCAAACCTGTGGTATACAAGAACAGAAATTCATTTTTGGTAACTTACTGTAAGGGCATCACTTTTTAAGACATTTTTCTTTGTGGGTATGAGATCTTTAGGTCAAATTATGGCACTTCCAGTAAGTGATCACAATGATTTCCCTTCAATTACGGTTTAGATGTACTTTTAAAAATGTTCTGAACTGAAATGTCAGATCCTCTGACTCATTCAGGAATTGTGCCTTAAATTTCCAGAACGATCTTATGTTATTTCTGCAAAATCTCATAAAATGAGGGGAAAAGCCTAACGAAATTATATTCTATCATTTGTGGATTTACCTGTTAAAAGATTAATCAAATGCTTATTAATAGTTTCTTCACTTAGACTATAAGTTTGTTCTTCTAGGTCTATCCAGGTGGATCTGAGACTCGGAATATGTTCCTTTCTCTTGACCCGAGAATACGGACTTCTTAGTCAACACTCACCTTCACTATAATAAACGTTTTTCTTTCACATTTTCCCATTCAGAACAGGAAATTTGTTAAAATGACAAATTACTGAGCCTACTGAATATTTTTCTAAACATTTGTTCAAAATATGTTAACTCCTGTGAAGAATGCTTTTAATTAAAAAATTTCTAATTTGTATTGCAAGCCCTCCTCCTAATTTAAACTTCTATATAGATATTAAATAGTTGATTCTTCTAAGATCCAATCATCATCTAGGTTACATTTTTAAGATAACAAAATTGGTAAGTTAAATTGGTTGTCTACATTCACATAGTAAGTTAGATAAAGCAAGAGGTTCTAAAGAGGTAACACTAAATTCCACTCACTGGCATCTTCCTCACTAATGTTCCCATAAAACTAAACTAAATAATATATAATAGTGTTAATGGAATTTTAAGGAGGTTTCAACTAATAAGGAATGGTAGGATTTTAAGATTAGTTTTAGTTTCACTAATTACAACTATATCCTGAAAATATTTACATAT